TTTTTTATAATTTTTCCTTAATTAAATTTAGTCCATGAATTAATTAATTCGGATCTATTAACAAGAAATCAATTAATTAATTGTCCAGTACTTGTTAATTAATTAATTAGTAAATTTCATTCTTTTAGTTCTCATTTTGTGTGTGACCCATTAGATTCTCAATCACTGTATCTAACAATGTAAATCATTATTTTGAACTAATCAAAATCAATAAATTAAAATACCCCTTTTTATTTTATCATCAATTCACATTCGTCGTCCCAAATTGATATCTAGTAATGTATCAGGACAACATATGTAACGGAAAATATCACGTAGTATGACAAAACGAAACTTGTTCGTTTACCGTAAAATTATAATCCTTTCATCAATATAATCCGATCAATTGCGAGATATATATGTGTCAATCTCAATTAATGATCATATCTTTCATTCATTACTAAGTCAATGTAAGTCGAAAACTACTTCGACTTATCTATATGCTTTCGCCAAGGAATTCATTATCAACTTAACTGAATGAAATGTAGATCTTAATATCTTATTATCTAAACGTGAAGAATCATCTATTGATCATTCACAATTTTCATATGATTCTTGACATACTCGAACGATGTCGTATTAGCGATCATTGATAGAGCAACATCCAATATCATCAAATATGACTATCCTCGTATGAGAGAATATGAAGACCTCAAGTCAAAGGTATAATTCTACTATCGAACGTTAGAGATTAACCATTAACATTCAAATAGTTATTTATGTGTAATCTTCCCAATGGATCTCCAATGTTTTGTTATGTATAAAAAAATATGTGTGTTCATTTAAGTGTCACCACACTTTAACTTGTGAGATCAGCTATTTACATCACAAGTAAGAAATATCACATATGATGGTTTATCCGTAATAATAATATCCGTTTCTCGTTATTATTTACGACTACAGATGATTTAATATTCAATCATATATAGTTTGTATCTCACAATTACAACTTCTTGTGATTAACAGAGGCATAACACTTACACCCCAAACCTCTTCGACAAATGGACATGTCACAAATTCTTTATAAATTACTTCTCAATACTATTTATTTCAAATTGGATGGTGGTATACATAATTCATATAACTTGTGATTTACATCTCAGACCTTACAAAACATGTTCTTGGAAGTGCATGAATACTAAGGCCTCCTTTTATATGAAGTGTAATCATGGTTCTGTAAGTCACATTCTCAGTGTCATTCTCTAATTTGAACCGGAATAAGTGGACAAGAGCTGCTGATACTATCTTCATTTGCCTATAAGCAAAATCTTTCCCCAAACAAGTTCGAGGGCCAGCCTGAACACCAAAATAACCAAAATATTACTTGTTGAAGCTCGATTCATAATTATGAGAGCAATTTTAAGAAAACAAAATCAGAAACGCACACGAGTTAACAGATTGAAGGTTTTCAATGTAAAGAAATAATAACGGATTACATTTAGAGATTTCACACCTCTCAGTCTATCTCTCACAAAAGAGTGGCACAAAAAATAACTGTTTAGACATGAAGGACTATCAGGACGACTCAATGCATATACAGAGTACCTAATTTACCATTGTACGAAAATGAACTTAACAAATTGCCACCCAATGTGCATGTCTCACATTTGTTCAAAGTAGTCTGCGGGTGAGGAGCGAGTTAAACAAGCTTTTAAACGAAACAGTTCAACTATACTAAGCGCTATTTGTGTAAATACTCATATTGTAGCTATAAGTATATTGGTAGGAGAAGGGAAGCTACTTACATTGAATGCTATGAATTTGAAGGGTGATTCAGGTTGAAATATCCCATTTTTGAGCCATCTTTCGGGCCTAAACTCTTCAGCATCATCTCCCCAAATGTAATTCATTCTGCCCATTGCATAGGCCATGTAGTATACACCATCTCCTTTCTTCAGTTTAAATCCATCTGGGAGAATGTCATCTGTTTCTGTGCACCTTCCATCCTATGAACGGAAAGTAACCAGACGGGATCATTCAATACAACAGTATGAACATGATACCACAACGATCAGTATGTTCTCTTTTTTGTTTCCTACCATCAAGTGGATGTTGAGAGAATTTTCTGAAAATTTATTGTCTCTCTTACAGTTTAAACATAATCGTTTAAAACGGGTGGTTCAACGTGGTATCATAGGATACAAGGATTTAAGTTCAAGCCACATCGTCACCCAATGAATCAAATTTCAACTTATTTTTCTTCTTTAGTCCGATTCACTACTGTTAAGTTGAACGTACAAATATACGTCAAAAGATCTTGACATAACTTACCACAGGAACTGCAGGGTAAAGCCTCAAGGTTTCTGTCAATGCTGCATGAAGGTAATGCATTTCTTCAAGTGCTTCATCGGTGATACATTCCACAAAGTCATCAACTGTACTAGCTTCATTCCATGGAGTACTACTGATAATTTCTTCCACTTCTTTTGCGATCTTTTCATGGATAATGGGGTTCTTGCAAAGCACATAAATAAACCAAGAAAGAGTGTTTGCAGTTGTATCTTTGCCTGCAATCATGAAGCTGAGAATAATATCCCTTAAATATTGATTTGTCATCCTCTGTGGATTCTTTTTGCTCTCCACCAAGAATCTTGAAAGTATGTCCTCCTTGTCATTCTTCAATAATCGAAGTATTAGCAAACGTTGTTAAAAAATAGATACTAGCAAGAAAGTAATTAGTACTATTTTACATCGTCTGGGCAAAATTTCTTGGGGGGTTTTTCTAAGATTTCCTTCTCAGAAGCAATTTGTGTTAGATTGTGTAACGAACTTGCAAGTTTCGTCACATTGGTCACCCTCATTTCGCGAGCGGAGCTGGTTTTAAGGATGAGTCTTACCCAAAGTCCCTATTTTTGCTAGATGCATTTCATTTATCTGATTATATTTGACTTGAAGAATATTTTGTTTAAAAAATAAAACACTTACACAATGCTGTTGCATTTCCATTTGTCTTCTCTTGGTACTGATCAAATCATCAACAAAATTGTGGATGAATTTGATGTTCTTCTTGAGGGTTGCTTCACTGCCAATGTTTAGATACTGCTTAAGCTTCCAAAATGGATCAGCATAACGCCAATATGTCAATTCATTTGAATCATCAAAAGCCCTTATGAATTCACTTCCCTCTTTGTCTGATCCTTCCAGGCAATTTAAGTCCACTCCGAAACCAACTTTGAATATAGAGTCCAAGGTGCATTTCATTAACAAACCCTGCAAAGAATCGTAGTCCAGTTAAGAATGTTACAGAATAAAACAAGTTACAGTAGTAATATTAAGCGAAGTGAAAATCAGAAATGCACGCACAAATTTATAGTGGTTCATATCTCGTCAGATTGCTAAAAGTTTCTCAATATCAAGAACAAGAATAGGGTGTCAAACCATGCAGGCATAACCCACAGTTTTTGGTGGGTTGGATCTTGAA